AGACAATTAAAAGATTTTTTTCATCTTCCCAATTCTCAGAATATACTATGCATATTTATAAGGAGGGGGATCATTTCTTGGTTACACACTGAAATATTAATAGAAGCACTTTTTGTAGTGGTGAAAAGCTGTAAACAGAGACTACAGTATATCAATTAATCTATAAATATTTATTGTGTACCTATTATGTATCATGCACAATGCTAAGCTCTGGAGATACAAAAAGAGGCAAAAGACAGACCCTGCCCTCAAGGAGCTTACAATCTAATGGGGAAACAACATATATACAAAACACACTATATACAGAATAAATAGAAAATAATTAAAAGAGGGAATGCATTAGAATTAAGAAAGATTAGGGAAGACTTTCTCTAGAAGGTGAGATTTTAGATAGGATTTAAAGGAAGCCAGGGAGGTCATTTCAGGCATGGGGAATAGCCAGAGAAAATGTCTGGAGCCAAGAGATGGAGTGCATTATTGTTGGAACAGCCAGGATGCCAGTGTCACTGAATTGAAGAGTACATATGTGCTAACAGTAAGGTGTAAGAAGACGGAAAGGTAGGAAAGGATTAGGTTATGAAGGGATTTGAATGCCAAAGAGAGCATTTTGTATTTGCGCCAGGAGGCAATAGGGAGTTTATTGAATGGGGGGGTGGGGACTGACACAGTCAGACCTTGCTTCAGGAAAATCACTTTGATGGCTGAATTGAAGATAGATCACAGTGAGGAGACACTTGAGGCAAGCAGACTCATCAGCAGGATACACAATGGTCCCAATGTGAAGTGATAAGACCCTGTACCAGAGTGATGTCAGTATCTGAGGAGAGATGAGGATGTAAAGATGTTGCAAAGGTATAATCAACAGATTTTGGCAACAGATTGGATATTGGGGGGAGGGGGCAAGAGATAGTGAGGAATTTAGGATGACACCTAGGTTGTGAGCCTGAAGGACTGGGAAGATGGTGTTGCCCTCTGCAGCACCAGGGAAGGTAGGAGTAGGGGGAAAGATAATGAGCTCCACTTTGGAAATATTGATGGTAAGATCTCTACTGTACATCTGATTTGAGATATCTGAAAGGCAGTTGGAGATGTAAGCTTTGGAGGTCAGCAAAGATTTTGAGTCATCTAGATGGTAATTAAATCCATGGGAATTAATGAGATTACCAAGTCAAATAATATATAATATAAAGAAAAGAAGGCCCAGGACAGAACCTGGAGGGACAACTATGGTTCGAGGGCATAATCTGAAAGAGGATTCAGCAAAGGAAAAAGAGGAGTGGTCAGCTAGGTAGGAGGAGGAGTAGGAGACACTGGTGTCTGGAAAACCTAAAGAGAAGATAGTATCAAGGAGAGAGTTCTCAACAGTGTCAAAGGCAGCAGAGAGGTCAAGGAGATTGAGGATGGAAAAAAACCCATTGTTTTCAGCAACTAAGAGATCATTAGTAACTTTGAAGAGAACAATTCAGTGGAATCCCAAGGTTGGAAGCTGGCTTGTAAGGGGTTAAGAAGAGAATGAGAAGAGAGAAAGTGGAGGCACTTAATGTAGAAGACCTTTTGAATGCATTTCACTGTAAAGGGTAGAAGAGATATAGGACAATAATTAATGATGACTAAAGGATCAAATGAGGGTTTTGTTAAGATGGGGAAGACATAGGCATGTTTGTAAATAAGAAATGAGCCAGTAGACAAGGAGAGATTAAAATTAAATAAATAACAAAGTGAGGATTACAGAGGGGGCAGTCTGTTGGAGGAGACAGGTTAGGATGGAATCATTCAAGTAGAGGAGTTAGCCTTGGTAGGGAGTAAGGCCACTGCATCATGTGAGACAGAAGTGAAGGAAGAGAGAGAGAGTGGCAGAAGATAGCTGAATGATAGGACATGAGGAAGAGGAGAAAAGAGAGAATTCATGGTGAATGATTTCAATATATTCTGTATACTATGAAGCAAAGTTTTCAGCTGAGACAGTGAGGGGAGGGGAAGCCATGGAAGGTTTGAGGAGGGATGAAAAGGTTTGGAGGAATTGCTGTGGAAAGTGAAATAATAAGTTTATAAAAGGGGGTATAATAGGATTGCCTAACAACAGAGAGGGACCAGATGAAGTTATGGAACATAAATGTGGGCATGGGAAGTTAACTGGTGCAGTAGATAGAGCACCAGGCCTGGAGTCAGGAAGACATGAGTTCAAATCCAGCCTCAGACACTTACTAGCTCTGTGACTCTGGGCAAGTCACTTAACCCTGTTTGACTTAGTTTCCTCATCCGTAAAATGAGCCGGAGAAGGAAATGGCAAACCACTCCAATATCTCAGCCAAGAAAACCCCAAATATGGTCACAAAGAGTTGACAAGACTGAAAGATTGAACAACAAAACATAAATTTGTAGTAGACTCAGTCAGAATGGTTGCATGATTTTCAGCAGCATGTGAGTAGGAGAGAAGGTGGTGAATGGTGGGAGTCATCCAAGGCTGAGGCTAGGCTGAGTATAATCAGTGGTATGAAAAGGGAGATAGAAATTCGAAAGGGAAGGACAGTGTAGAGTTGTACTGATTCACCAGGAGGCCAAGGTAGGGGAAAGAGGAGAGTGGTTAGTGCAGGGGAGATGGCCTGAAAGAGAATTGAGATATCGTGGGTTTGGAGGTCATGGTATGCACAAAAAGTAGAGTTTTATAAGGAAAGGCAGAGGAAGAAGCAAAAAATCAGTGGATTATGGTCAGATAGGGAGATTTCAGAATTTTTGAGCATAAAAGTACATTTGTGGGTGATGGCAAGATCAAAGGTGCAGCTGTCTTTTTGCATGGCTGAGGTGAGACGGAGTGGGTCATAAGAAATGAGAAGGTTGAACTGAATGGTTATGATATTTGAGGGAAAGTCAATCTGTATATCGAAAGCCCCTAGAATGAGGGCAGGAATTGGGGAAGAGAAAAACATTTTGATCCAGGTATCACACTCATTGAGGAAATTAGGGGAGTGACATGGGAATCTGTAGCTAACAGCTACCAGGATTTTGATTAGGTGGTAGATGTGAATAGCATGAACCTCAAAGGAAGAGAAATTACCGACTAATGGAGATGGAGGAGAATCTAGAAGTGGCAATGGGGAGGAAAGAGTGTTCTGATTCCGCTGCTTCAACCAGTGAGCCAAGTGGAATGAGGGAGGGTGCAGCCAGTACTGGAAAGGGTGACCAAGGAGGCTGTATCATTAGGAGTCTGGATACCCTTTGACACTGTTAATCCCCTGTTTCTCCTTGACACTCTGTTCCTCTAGGTTCTCATGACTCCTTTGCTGCATCTTCCAGCTCACTCTGAGAGTCCCACAGGGCTCTTTCCTGGATCTTCTTCTCTTTCCCCTCTATATTATTTTACTTGGTGATCTCACCAGCTTCCATAGACTCAATTATCATCTCTATGATGATGATTCTGAAATCTTTTTACCCAGCCCTAATCTCTCTGCTGACCTCCAGTTTCATATAAACAATTGCCTATTGATTGCCTTGAAATGTACGTTCTGTAGACGCCTTAAACTCAAACCGTCTAAACCCAAATTCATTATTTTTTCTCTCCCTGACCTCCCTTCTTCCTAATTTCCTCATTACTGTCAAGGACACTCTACCAGTCGCTCAAGCTTACAACTTAAGTGTCATCCTTGACTCTTCACTTTTTTTTGCTTCCCATATCCAATTTGAAGGCAAGGTCTATTGATTTTGCCACCATGCCATCTCTCCCATAGGCCTCCTTCGCACCTGTGACCCAGCCGTTACCCTGGTGCAGACCTGAGGTGGTGAGGACTATTGAGGATTATTGCAATAGTTTGCTGGTTGGTCTTTCTGCCATGAGTCTCTCCCCACTCCTGTCTATCCTCCACTCAGCTGTCAAAGTGATGTTCCAAAAGCACAGATTTAACCATGTCAGTCACTTGAGTCAATAAACTTTAATGGGCCTCTATCACTTCATTAAATCTTATATCAAATATAATCACATAAAAAATCTTCTGGCTTTCAAAGTCCTTCATAAGTTAGGTTTCCCACCCCTTCCAGTCATCTTACACCTCACACCTTTTCCTCATACTCTTCAATCCAGTAACGCTGGCCTTCTTTGAGGAATGTCTCAAACATGACACTCCATATTCCAATCTGTGTTTTCTCTGGCTGTCCACCATGGCTGCAATGCTCTCCCTCTACATTTCTGCCTCATGGCTTCCCTGGTTTCCTGTAAATCCCAGCTAAAATCCTTTCTCCTGGAAGCCTTTCCCAGCCCCCCTTAATTCTAGTGTTCTTCCTCTGTTGATTTCCAATTTATCCTGTACATATCTTGTTCATACATGGTCATTTGCATGTTGGCTCCCCCATTATTCTGTGAACTCCTTGGGAGCAGGGACTGACTTCTGACCTTTCTTCACATCCTCAATGCTTAGCATAGTGTGTTTGGACTATAGTAGGTATTTAATAAATGTTTAATGACTGATACAATGTAAATGAAGACAGCGTAGAGAAACAGAATTAAGATAAAATGTAATGACGAATGTTGGTTTCTGATAAAGGCTATTGAGAAAGTCCCACTAGAGAGGAGTAGACAGAAAGGCAGGGTTATATTTAGATACACAGCTAGACTGGAAATCTAGGAAGACATGGGTTCAAATCCTGCTTTGGATACTTACTAGCTCTGTGTCCCTGAGCAAGTCATAGAAACTCTCTGAACTTCATTTTCCCTGGCTTTAAAACTATGAATCCTTATCAGTCACTGTCAAAAGTTCAGGTAGTTGAAATCTTTTATTGTCCTATTTAGTTCTTGGCAAGAGAATAGATCACGGCAGGCAGTTACTTGAAGTGATTAGAAACTAAAAAACAAAATATGCTAAAAATAAAAAAGTACATATTTACAGATGAAACTGAACATGAAATTTACCAAATTAATTTAGTTTTATTACTATTTTATTATAGATGGTTACATGTGTTTTCTGTTATCAAGAAAGTGTGATCAATTCATTTACTCTTTTTGTTTTCAGATGGGACAAACATTCTATGACAGTTCAGATTCAGCTCAGCTATATTCTCTTTCCCCCTTCTCCCTGCCGGAAGACAAAGAAGAATTTTAAACAATGAATTCTGCATAACATCTTGCTGGAGAGAACTCAAATGCCCTAAGGACCTGGTATAAAAATGTATAACAAATAAACATTTAAAGTAAAAAGAGAGAAAAATGGGGGATAATTTAAGGGATTAGTAGTGAAAAGAGATACTGCAGAATTTCACTTAACAGCCTTCTCTTGCTCTAAGAAATTGCAGTCGCTACTCCCTCCATCCCTTTGCCATTTGTCATGCTGTGATGTAAAATCCATATAGGTCTAGAGCTTTAATTCTCTGAATGTTTATCTTTGGCGTTTAACATTTGGTGCAATCAGAACTTGATTTAAGCGTACTCAGTCACCAAAAAAAGGGATTGTTTTCTCTTGGTTTTCTTGCCTATAGAATGTCTTGAGTGGCTAAAACATGGAAAGGCAGTGCCAGGGGCTACATGGTGCGTTTAAAATGAACTCACAGATGAATGTGCGAGGTTTGGGACACAAGGGCCCTAGATTCAGCTCTTTTGATTCTCTGGAGCCAGTTCCCCTCCCCCCCCCCAGCTCAAAATCTATTAGGAAGAGCATTAGCTCTTGACTTGAATCCTCTCTTGATGGACTAATGCTATTATGATGAGAATAAAGGTACTAACTTTATCTGCTTTGTAAGTATAATGTTCATACACTGACTTTTCTTTCACAGGAATATACATATATATATATATATATGTATATACACACACACATATATGTGTGTGCATATATATGTGTATGCATGTGTATGTATATGTATATGCACATATATATGTATATGTAGATAGATATATGATGCCAGCCAATGCAAAATTTGCAGTAAACCATTTAAACAAAAATGGTAGAGGGGCAGCTAGGTGACACTTACTAGCTGTGTGACCCTGGGCAAGTCACTTAACCCCAACTGCCTAACCAAAAAAAAAAAACCCAACAAAAATGGTAGAAACAGTTGCAGCAGCACAAAATATTTGATTGTTCAGTATTGTTCAGTCCCTCTTGTAAGAGCTTTCAGGAATACGGTTTTCTGGATAGCAAGATATTGTGTGGGATAAGCTTCTTGGTATTTAGTTTAGAAGTGACATGTGCCACCCTGCCACAAGTGCCATTTTTTTTTCTGGCTTGGCATCTGTCTTCTGTGTTTGTATATAAGGTGCTATCTCAATAACTAGTTGACAAAGTCATCCAGAAGAAAGGGCTGATGATGAATGGGTTGCCATGATGCAGGTATTATTCACATCCTTCCTGTTGACAGTCAGAACTTCTTTAATGCAGGTTGTCTTCTATCATCTGGAAGCACTTCAGAGGAAGGCATCCCCAATTAAATCTGATGAGGTCATACACTTCCTAATTAGAGGCTAGCCTATTGTGCTGAAATGTAACAGACACGTTCTTCAGGAAGCGGCTCTTCATGCCTAAGTCAGTACAATAAACCCAACTGGGAAAGAGGGGGATCCCTGCTGTAAGAAGGTGCAGTCTGCGGATTTGGGTGCTGAATTGTTGATAGTATATCTTTGTATCATCTACTCCTCTTTTTGGAGAATGTTGTGGTTTTTGGCAGCCCCATCACAGGCTAGGAATTAAAAGTGATAAGAAGGAAATAAACAAACTGATGGTTGCCATCCATTTGAGGGCTCCTGAATGGATTCTGCACAAAATCTTGTGGGAGAGAGCTCAAGTTGGCGTGGAGAGGAAGGTTTGGTGGGAAGAGGTTGATAACATAAACAAGACCCACACCAATTCCAAACAGAATATATAATCAGAGAAGGCTGCATGCACTTCACCATTAGCCAAGTCTACACACAGTGGAAAGGAAGTGTGAAATTTTGATTATGTTTTTAAGATTCTTCCCTCAGCTGCTGGGTTTTTATTATGGCAACAGCTGAGCTAGCACAAGATTGTTAAGCCTATACCATTTGGTATAGCAAGGCCACAATCAATGTCATGCAATTTTCAGCAATAACGACTCTTAATTTATTTATTTTAGGTGGTCACATGGTCCAAGAGATGCAATCATACTTTACACTTATTTAGCATTTTAATGTTTGCAAAGCACTCTCTAACAACAATCCTGTGCTACTAGAGATCCCAACCCCCCAGGAATCAGACACATTAGATGTAGGGTGCTATGGATTACTCAGAGCCATCAGAGCCCTGACCAGGGCACCCCTTTATTCAGGAGACCAAAATGGCTCTCTATTGCCTGTAGGATCAAATCCAAACTCCTCTGGCATTTAAAGTTCTTCACACCTGGCTTTAATCTACCTTCTAATCAAACTAGCTTTGCTATTCCTCACACTTAATGTTCTGTCTACTTGTCTTGTTACTTTTGCAAACTCTTTCTACCATACCTGAGATGGATGTCCCTCCTGCTTTCCTCCGCTTTTTTGTACCCCTGGTGACCTTCAAAGCTCAGTTCAAGTGTCATCTTTCACATAAGTCTTTCCATATCCCTCCAGCTACAATACTTTCTCACTGAAATTGCCCTTGGTATATGCTTTTATGTACTTATCAGATACTTCTCCTGGTAAGGCTTGTGGACCATTGACACCCATTGCTAAGCAAGTTCTTCTATGTCTGTTAAGGATTGTGTTGTAGGCGTAACTCTAAAGGCAGCACCCTCGTAGTTCAGGTTCAATGTTGGGATGAAATGACACATTCGAAAGTCACTAAACATTTGACAAAGGGTAAGGTTTCCTTTGCCCAAACACAGCAAGGGTAAAAGTGGCTTTCAGCCTCTCTTCTGCAGCTCCCCTTTGTGGCCATCTAGAAACTGAGTCTGGTCAGTGAGTCATCAGGGTATGGTGACTCAGTAGTCCCAAGCACCCATCATGGCTGAGAGTCTGAAAGGCACCAATTACAGAGGGCTGGGATCTTTTATGCCCTCAAATCAGGAAGCTGCCTCATGGAAGCTGGGGCTAATCATGTTGCATCAGGCAGGGAGGAATCTGAATCAGGGAAGTTCTAGTGGCTGAGTCAGAAAACTTCTGGTCCTATCACAGACTGCCTCAGACTGATCTAACCTCATTTCTCATAAAGACTTGTTGACTTAGTCATTGGCATTTTCACGTGTTCATTTGTTTGTGGCATGAGGAAGAGAGGCAGCTCTTATAGTCACATAGGAGAGAGTGTTCTTTCCTTGGGCAGGGCTGTAATCCCCATTCCCTAGCCCATTATTAAGAAAAGTTAATTGTTAAGGGCAGAATTATGAGGAATGTGGGCCATTTAAACTTTCTCATTGGACAGTGAACCTAATGTAGTAACTCCTGGGTTTGCACTTATATGTACACATATTATCTCCTCCTGATATGATGTGGGCTTCCTTGAGGGAAGGGATTTTCTGGTTTTTGTCCTTATATTTCCAGCATCCCACATAGCATCTGGCACATAGAGGTACTTAAGAATGCTGAATATTTGATTGAAAAGCTGAGAACTAGATGCAAGTGACAACTTGAGGTCTCAGCTCCCAGAAACTGAGAATGAAGTATATGTTCTCAGTGGAGATTAGGCCTTTGGGGACCAGTCAGTCAGGTATTTACTGACTCATATGCCTGAACTGGTTATTGAAGAAGAATGAACTGACATTATCTTCCATCACCACAGGACCCTTGAAGATGGGAGGCCCAGTCAGATGCTACTTCTGCCATCAAGAACAAGTCATGCCAGGCTAGCTTCATTTCCTTCTGGGACTAGATTACTAAACTAGTAGATAAAGACAAAATATCTTGGATTATTTTTATGGAGAAGACCAAGATATATTATCAATAATAATAATAATAATAATAATACAGTCAGCTGGGTTCAGAACTGGTTGTATGGACAGGCTAGAAGAGTATGTGTTAATGGCTCAATGTCAATGGGGCAAGAGGTGTCCAGTGGAGAGCCCCAAGTATCTGTGCTTGGTCCTGTGCCATTTAGAATTTTTATTAATGATTTAAATAAAGGTATACATGGTAGCCTCACTGAATTTCCAGGTAATACAAATCTGGGAGGGATAGCTAACCAAGTGGATTGCAGTCAGGATCCAGAAAGATTTTGACAGGCTAGATCGTTGGAATGAACCTAATAAATATGAGACTCAAGAGGGATAATTGTGAAGATAGCAATTATTCTCAAAAATAGCTTGGGGAATTAGTGAACTGCGTGTATGATATGGTAGCCACAAAAGCCTGCGTAGACTTAGGCTGCATTAAGAGGGCACTGGAGAAGAAAATGGCAAATCACTCCAGTATCTTTGCCAGGAAAACCCCATGGACAGTTGGTCTGAAAAGTCAGGGAGATTAAGATGTGACTGAATGATTGGAGGGTAATAACATCAATAATAAGAGGGCATAGCTTTTAGGAGTGGGGTGACGTTCCTGCCAAAGAAACACAAAGATACCTCATCAGGCCTCATCCAGAATGTTATGTTCAATTCTGGGGCCCACAGTTTAAGGAAAACATTACTAAGATGGATTGGTTGAAAGAAGTGGGCATGTCTACCCCGCAGAAAAGGCCTGCTATTTTACAGAAGCATAGTGTAGGACATGACCCTTATGTATATGCCTGACCTATGAGATAGGACATCACCAAGTTTCTTCAGCCAGTCTGAACACTACTCCTGTGCAGTATCATTCCATTTCATCCACCAGATCATTGGAGATCTCTAAATTGATCAAGGCTTTTTCACACTTAGTTGGAATGCCTTTGATTGACTTACCTTTGATTGATTGATTGAAATGCATTCCCACCAGTTAGGGCACCAGGGCATAGCAATTTATCACTTACTTTAGGTGGGATGGGGATAATTTGATTGATTTACTCAATAGACCTCTACCTCTATAAGCAGAAAACACACTGACAAAAAAGATTCCTGACTAATCTCATTCACAGGTGGTGTAAAACTCGAATAGAAATGGGGCCACTAATCCATATATAGGGATCCCTGTGGCCCTTATATTAATTTAGTTTTAAAATGTAATATTATCTATGTTTTATTATATTTTTATTTTGTTAAATATTGCCCAATTACATTTTAATTTTATTCAGCCTTGTTTTTCATCTTTGCCATACACCATCAATACAATTCTTTTTGCCAAATGAGATAATGGATGTAAAGTACTTTGCAACATCAAAGCATTAAAAAATGCTTCTCCTCCTCCTCCTCCTCTTTCTCTTCCTTCTCATATTTTCCTTCCTTCTCCCTTCCTCCTCCCTTCCTGCTCCTCTTCCTCCTCTTCCTCTACCTGGGCCTTCTACTGCACTGCTGCTGAGATGAAGCAATATTTATAGAGGAATGCAGAGGTGTGCTGGTCAAGGTTTAACAACCTGATTGGGGGAGGAAGGAACGTATATGCATACACTTTTAAACTTATTCTACATTATTAACATTTTCTGAAGTCTAGACAATCAATAGAACAATTAATCAATCCCTGATGTTTAGTTATCACTGATTTCTGAGGTTCAGATGCTCACGCTGAAATTTTAACACAAGCAGGTTAGAGATGCCTCAAACACACCTCTATATGGTACCTTAAGGGCAGCGAGGTAGCACAGTGGATAGACCTCCAGGCTTGGAGTCTTGAGGACCTGAGTTCAAATCTAGCCTCAGATACTTACTAACTATGCGATCCTAGGCACATCACCTA